GTGCTATTCATTATCAACCAAACATTGCTTCTTTCCTTACGTCTATTCTTGAGATATATTGCAGACTTAGATACTTTTCCCCTTTAATTTCAATAAGTTGAAGGTTAACTTTTTAAAGAAAAAGAAGTCAATATCTTCATTTCTTTGCACCTTTAATAAATACCTAGAAAAAGAATACAAATACTCATTTAGGTAAAATCACTACCATGTACACAATGCTTGACATATCCTGCCGAAACCGGTTCGGCTCAGTGGTACAGCATTGGTCTGCGGACTGAAAGGTCCCAGGTCGATTCTGGTCAAAGGCATGTACCTTGCTTGAGGGCACATCCCTGGTAGTGGGTGTGCAAGAGGCAGCTGGTCAATGTTTCTCTCTCATTGACGTTTCTAGCTCTCTATCTCTTTCCCTTCCTCTCTGTAAAAAATCAATAAAATATATTTTAAAAACAACAACAACAAAAAAAAAAACTTGACATATCCTAATGAAAACAGGACTACTCATTTTCTCTACTGCAAACTGGCCATTGTATTTTAAGTATTTTTAAGTTCTACTCTGGTTTTACTTGGGCTTAGCAGGTTATACTTAATATTGGGCACTGAAGTCTGGAGCAATAAAGCATGGATTCAGCTGTCCAGTTCTTCTCCCTCTCACAGGAGGGAGGGAAAACAAGGGCATCTGTCTAGGGTGATGGGTGAAGAGTGTGGGCTCTCCAGGTCCAATGCCTGGATTTGAGACCGCCCCCACCAGATTCTAATTGTGATCTGAGGGTCTTTGAGCCTCTGGGGGCTCAGCGCCCAGTCTGTAAAACAAGGACTACAATAGCACCTACAGCAAAGGCTGCTGAGTAGTAATTAAAAGAATCCATGCAAATTGTTCATCCAGTTGCCTGTCTTAGTCACTGTTCAATAAAAATACCTACTTTTACTTTTCTCTTGTATGCTCCTCACACTCCTGCTCAGCTGGACTGCTTGCCGCCATGTGTCTCTCTAAGCTTTGTTCTTATTCTGAGTCTAGACCCCGGTACTGCTTATTCCCTGGCCTGATGAAATCCTTTCTTTACAAGGGCCTCCTCATCCTGATCCATCTGACCAATCCTGACTTGGCCCCATTGGTTTGCACCTTCATTGCTCTTCATTGGCAATTCTTTTATTATACTCATTTTATTAAACCTAACTTCCATTACAGTAACTTATGACCTTATCTCCTCCATGGTTAAGGACTGTATCTTACCAGCCTATTTCTTCTCTACAGTTTTAATAATCTTCAAAGAGAGGTTGCTCAATAAGCATTTATTGGATTTGAAGCAGTTATGCTTACTTGTGAAAGGAGGCATAATGCATCCTATACCTAGAAGAGCAGCTCTCTCATGGGATACTTATCAAGATTTAATGAGATAATGCATGCAAAGGGCTACTAACCAGTTATCATTTTATCATTACCAATCACAACTACTATTTCTTCAGTGTTCACCACATCTGGCACTGTACTAAGTGCTTCACAGGTGTGAATGCAAACAGGGCCTGGCTCAGAATCCTCTCATTCCCCTCACAAAGAGTAGGTGAGATAAAGGTGTTTTTTATTTTTTATTTATATATATATATATATATTTTTTTTTAAAAAATATATTTTATTGATATTTTACAGAGAGGAAAGGAGAGAGATAGAGAGCTAGAAACGTCGATGAGAGAGAAACATCGACCAGCTGCCTCTTGCACACCCCCCACTGGGGATGTGCCCGCAACCAAGGTACATGCCCTTGACTGGAATCAAACCTAAGACCTTTCAGTCCGCAGACCGACGCTCTACCACTGAGCCAAACCAATTTCGGCTAAAGGTGTTTTTTAAAATAACTGATGAAGAAAAGTAACAAACCCAAAAGTAACAGCTGAGTTGGTCATTTATTAAAAAGTTTGGCTTGAATAGATATGAAATTACTGATATTTCACAACATAGCTTTGAGGATCAAAAAAAATTCAAGATACACAAAAGTATATGAAAAGTTGCAAATCTTAAAAATAAAAGGAAGTATTAGGCAAACTGGTATCCAGTGCTCAGGACTGCTAAGAGAAAATGGCCCTGGGAACTGCTCAGTCTCAATCCTCCTAACTATAAAAGAGGCCAATAACCAGAACCCACCGCAAGGGGTGCTGAGGATGAAATCAGATGATGCTGATAAAGAGCTGAGAACTGTGTAAGTAAACATATATTCAGATATTTGCTTTCACCATAAGAGATGCTCTAACTTGTCTAATTAAGATCTAGGATCATGATGAAAAAACTAAATCCAGACTGGATCCAAATTTTCTGAGTCACAACCTGTTCTAAATTCTTGGCAGTGTGAAATCATTGAGGTCAGTTTCATCTTCTTACTGCCCATTACAAGAGAATGGAGGTGGACACCAATATATGGTGAAGGGCCCAGAAAATCTTCAAGAAGGAGAATGTGAAAGCTTGAGTAAATCACAAGGCATACGTTCATTTCTAAAACTTCAGGAATTAAAATGCCTTTGTCAGTACCAACATACATATCAGAGTCTAGACAAATAAAAACCAAATTTTTATATTTCTGTGAAATTCTTTCTTTCATATTTTATAGATATAATTTTCATTTGTTCTGTGCATTTCAGCTTTTAAAAGTGGTAAAATGAGAAACTAAGGCACCAAGTATCGGAGAGGCAAATGCTACAATATATCTAAGCCGTTTAGAGAAAACATTAAAGGAATCACCTAAATAAAATTTAAAAGGAGATTTAGAATTAGTGAGTCCAGTTTCTCGGTATCGGACTGTGAATCTTTTCAAATGTAAAGATGTACAAAGCATGACATTTTAAGAAGTGATGACATAGATGGAAACCCAAAGTGCTTTGCAATGACTCCAATGCATTATCCTACTGCACTTATAAGCATTTCTGTTTTAAAATCTGTATTTGTAAATGTGCCCAAATAATGTTTCTCAAAATGATTCCAAGGCATTAATGAGATTTCCTACCAAAAAAAAATGACTCCCCAGACATAATGCCTAAGTATGTGTCTGTTTTTTAATAGTATAATTCTGGCATTGAAAGCTTGAAGATATAAATGAAACGACAGAGGCTAAGTGGGGATATCCTTTGGTCCAGCTATATTGTTGCTTGTATAAAATAGCAGGTTTTAAATTCCTAGACTCCACTACTTAATAAAATTTCCAAAATAAAACTGGGACACTCACTTAAATTGCCAAATTTTATGCATGCCAGAAAGGCATTAAAGAAAACAACTGATACATATTAATATCATTAATTTATGAAGGAAAGTATATTTTAATACCCCTCCATCAGAATTAAGAAGCCCATAATTTCAAAATAATGGATAGTTTTGTAAATTAAATAAATTTAGCTTTAAATTAAACTCATTATAGTGTTATCTTTTCTGTGTTGATGGTACTAACAAGTATTCACCACAGATCAGCCCCACCTCAGGTCCAATATTTGTAATCACAAAGAGAGGCATAAAATGTGCCAGAGATCTCATAAAATTTATACAAGTAGGGCACACATTTTTTACATAATGTGGTTAAAACAAAGGGAAAATGGCAATAAATACCTCCTGTATATAAAACTAGAGGCCCAATGCATGAATTTGTGCATGGGTGGGGTCCCTCAGCCTGGCCAATGATCCATGGGGGCCCATAAGGGCTGCGGAAGATTGGCTGGGAGGGGCCTCAGAAGGTTGGCTGTGGGAGTGCATTGACCACCAATGGGCAGCTCCTGCACTGAGTGCATGCCCCTTGGTGGTCAGTGCATGTCATAGTGACCGGTCATTCAATTGCTTAGGCATATATATAAAATCTAATGTAGATTTTAGAAAGTCCCGTATATAATTATCAATGTCTAAATGTTGTTATTCTCCTCAAAATAGACAGTAACTAAGAAGACTGAATCCATAAAGTTGAACCTAATCATTTTTCTACTCCTTCTTTGTTAGAATAAAAGTTCAAAATATTTATTGGAAGACAGCCCCCAAAATACTAAGTTTATGCATCAGTAGTCATCTGAAGCATTCAAACTGCTTCATATTTACATGTTATAAATATCAATGCTCACAGCCTATTTGAAATAAATATATGGGATAGACATTATCTTTATGACAAATGAAATGACTAGACAGAGAGCAATGATTAGAAAAGTTACATCCAACTATTGGACCATGATATAGTCCTATTGGCTCAATTAAAAGAATAAATATACCTTGAAACTAATTTTTCTGAACTTAATTTTAATACAATGGAAATTTTTATTAATTATGGATATACCATCAAAATTTGTTCATAAAATGGCATTTGTATTTTGACCAAATGATCTCCACACTAAGGATAGAAAATACAGAAGTGAGAAAATATTGAGTATTTTCATTTTGTTACTAATTAGAACCCACCTTTTTAAAGTTTTATATTTAGTCTTGGCTGAAATACTTTGTTGGGTGTACTAATAGTCTTTAACATTTTAAACCTTTAAGACAGTGCTTGTACCAGTTAACAGTACAGGCTTTGAACTTATTAACTGTGTGAACTTGGACTTACTACTTAATCGCTGTGCCTCAGATTCTTCATCTCTAAAACCATTCTCATAGGGTTGGGAGAATAAATGGGATAACATATTTAATTTACTTAAAATAGAGCCTGGTGAGTGGGTTCATTAGTGCTAGCTATTATTATTACTGTTATTGCTACTACTTATTCCTAGAGTACTTAAAAAATCCACCACATTTGTGGAAGATTACCAAGAGTTGAACAGAGTTCAAATATCATATCCATCAATGTTGACATTGAGAATTTCATCAGATGAGAAATGTTTATAGAGTTCAGAAAGCCAAGAAAAAGAAAATGAGTAACTGCAAAGAAAATACCCTTCACAATAAATGACATCAGATTTCCCTGTCAGAAAAAAAACTATGGAGGTCTATGCTCTGGAAGCCTAAAGAAACCCGAGCCTGAAGAATGTTCTCTGGAAGCCACACTCACCCCTTGTTCATCCAGTTTCATGAGCTGCTCTGTGACTTTGGGAGTGTTGAAGGCCAGCCGCAGGCACTGGACATTGAGCTCCGGGATCACGTGCTCCAGCACTTCTTTTAGGGGCAGCCCCCGGGCTGTCGAGTGCTTTGCCGTTGAGGGTATGGCATCCTCCAGGACTGAACCTCTCAGTGTCATAAGCTGAAAGAGAGAACCGCTTCCGTTAATGACCTCCGGAAAGGAGAGAATCCTCATAAGTTCCTGGGCTTGAAAACGTGCACATGCTATAATATTTTATTCATAAACACACTGTCATGCTTATAATTACATGTGAGTTATTTAAAATGTATGTTATGCAATGATACTTTCTATTCAAATGAAAGAGAGATCTGTTTGTATTTCTATTATCTTGATGTTATTTACTAAAAGCTACTGGATTGGCATGACCATGTTCTTTTTTCTTTTATAATTAATTTTCTATTATGTTTTAATTGATGTTTTGAGAAAGAGAGAAGGGAGAGAGAGGGGGGAAGAGAGGGAGAGGGAGAGTGAAAGAGGTAGAGAGAGAGAGAGAATCATTGATGTGTAAAACATCAATTGGTTGCCTCTCATATGTACCGCAATTGGGGATTGAACTGCAACCTAGGTTTGTGCCATTACTAAGGATTGAACCAGCAACCATTTTGATGTATGGGACAACATTCAACCAACTGAGCCACACTGGCCATGGCATCATGTTCTTTATTCTTGATGTATTTATTAACATGAAAAATTAATAGCATGAGAAGTCCCTGCATGAAAACTAAGTCTTACTTTATTACATACTAGAGGCCTAGTGCACAAATTTGTTCATGGTGGGGGTCAGGCTGGTCCTGCCAGGGGAGGGGCCACAGGAGGTTGGTTGATCAGCCTTGCCCCCCACAGTGAGCATCATAGCGACCCATCGTTCTGGTCACTTAGGGTTTTATATATATAGATGCCTATCTCACAAAGTCAGGAGCTATGGCCTGAAACTGACATCTAGAGCATTTCTATCAAAGGACTTTTGTTAGTTTCTTTCTGTGAAGAGCCTCATAAAGAAATTACAATGAATCCACATTTAAGGATTATTTTTATTGGATAATAGAAACAATTACACAAAAGCTAGTGACAAATAAACATCAGAGAGGGGAAAGAAGGGATAAAGGAAGGCAGGAAAGAAGGAAAAGAGAAAGGGAGGGAGATGGGAAGAAAGGGGGAAGAAAGAGGAGGAGGAAGGATGTGGGGGATAGAAAGTACTACTTTGGGCATTATGTGTGTAGTAATGAACAACTCAGATAAAAATTCCATCCTCCCTGAGACAGAAAAAGAAAAAAATAAGAACAATATGTGAGATAGTGTTAAGTATTCATGAAACAATAAAGCCTGGAGTTGGATATGAAATTTTAGATGAAGCTCCCTGTGATTTATGAGCAAAGGCCAGAAGGAAATGAGAGAGCTCTGGCCAACAGGATGCCTGGGGAAGAGTATCACACTGCAGACGAACAGGGAGCATCCAAGACCCAAGGCGGAGGTGCCCTGAGATGGCCCAAGAGGAGGAGGTCGCGGGACAGACTAATGAGGGCAGTTGGACATGAGGTCCTGAGCAGATGTGCCTGTCTCCTAGGTACAAAGGAGACCTGCTTGTACTCAGAGGCAGATGAGAAACCAGTACAGGATTCTGAGTTGAGGAATGACAAGATCTGGATTACATTTCAAAAGGATCACTGCTGGGCCAAAGCTGGAAGACAGTTCTCAGGGAAAGATGATGGTGGCTTGGCCCTGGCCCAGACCCAGGTAGAGGAATGGGAGAAGTGGCTGAATCCTGGACACATTTTGAAGACAAAGTGAACAAATTCTGCTTATACGTGGGGGTGTCAAGAGGGAGGAGAAGATCTGGGAGTGGGAGTGGATGTAGGAAAAGCTAAGAGTCAAGTGCAGCTTCCAGGTTTCTGGCCTGAACAACCAGAATAATGGAGTTGTCATCAACCAGGCATTAATTTGAACATGAAAACAAGTGGAAATGGCTTTTTGAACCATGAACATTTGGCCTGGATGTTTCAATCAAAAGCTAGGGAAATGGATGCAAGGGACCTGATGCATTCTCATGGATCAGCAGGAAAAGGACAGACTATGAGACCAGGGACCTGGAGGGAGGTGCAGGTGCCGCACTCCAGGCCAAGGTGGCAAGAGAGGAAAGAACAGAGGTGGAAAGGAAGAGTCAGTGTGGGTCACCCAACGCAACTAAGGGGTCACCTTGCTGTAGGACAGGAGTAACCCTGGAGAGAGGGGCTGAGCCTAGGTGGGGAGTGCCTGCCAGGCAAGCTGACAGGTACACTCATGGAAATCACTGACAGGTTCTAGAGAGAGTGCTGACTTAGAAAACGTCAACTTCTGGCCTGAAGAATGATAGGGCAGTGACAAGAAGAAAAAATTTAAATGGGTTTAAAGCAGAAAAGGAATATTAAGATAGAGGCCTTAAATCAGAGTGGCCTTGGGAGGAGAAAAAGAAATACTTGGATGTAAGCTAACTGAGGCTCACAGAAATCTGGTGGAAATCTGGAAACGACCAACTACCTTCAACCAACTTCAAAAACACAGTGTGTTCTCTGTTTTTCATGTCAACAGAAGGATTTACATGCTTATAGTTAGCTTTGGCGTGGAGAAAAATACACTGGAGAATGTTAATCTTCGTTTCAATTTGGCTGCCATATATACACATTAAGATATTAAAATCATGCCTTAAAAAAATCTTATTTTTAATTTCCCCAGAGTTCGAGCTTAGGAACAATGACTAAGTGAGGCCAACCTCTGAAATTCAATAGGAGCAGTAAAGCCAAATGCCCCATTTAAAGTAGTTTCAAAACTATTATTTTCTAGATACCTCGAGGGGGTATTAGGCATTAGTGTGTAACAATGATCCTAAGTGCTGGAAGGTAATAAATGGATAGCTGGCACAATAATTTATGTTTAGAAAGACGACAGAACTTCATAATCCCAAATTTGTTGTTGGCTTTTTAAGAAATGCTTTGTTGGCTAGTTTATTTTTCCTTTTCTTTCTTTGAACCTGGATTTCATTAAAAAATAAAAAGTGACATATTATGTGTACTTAGATTCCTAAATTGCTCCAAAGGCCTGTTTCACCGGCATCACACAGCCTCTGGTTCCAATAGCCCATGCTCTAGGCCTCAGAGAATAGGTCCAAAAGATGGTGAAGGGAAAGTAGGAGGAAGAAAGTCTTTTCTCTTCCCTTGAGTCAAGAAGTAACCTAAGCATTCGTTTGGAGGAGTGTGCTGAGCCCTAGGTCATGCGCTCCCATGTGTGAGCACCCCAGCTCTTCCACTGGCTCGGCATTTTGTGGCTACCCCAGCAGGACAGGCGATATCCCATCTGGGATTCTGAGGGCTCCAATTTCTTGGGCCCCACGCAATGGACATATCTTTCTCTGAATCAAAACTCCCATTCATTTATTGAATCTCTCCAGAGCTCAGTGGAAAGAAAGGCTCTAGCTCAAACCATTCTGTCCACGCCCATCACCACCAGAATGAATGAAAGGGGGCTTTGTGACTTTCGGAGACATTTGTGATCAGGCGATATTAAATTTAATTGCTTTGCTACAGCTACCACTATACTTTTTTCTCACTTCCATTAAGCCTCACCTTTCTCATTTGCAACTTACCTCACTCGTTCTAAATATTATTCGGTAGTTATAAGGAGATCCATTTTCTTTCATTTCTTCTGGTTTTTCCCTTCGAATGCTCACAGCCACTGGACCAAGATTCTCATCAGCCCCAAAATAGTTCCAGTGTTCTTAAGTAAAATAAGACAAAACAAAATTAAACTGCAATGTTCTGCTGGACATTTAGATCACTCAAATTATTTTATATCAATAAAATGCAAACACATAGAACAAACATCAATATTCTTTGATGTGTTATAAAAACAAGGCCTTGGCTACACAGCTATAGTTTTAGAGCAGGTAACACTGAAGAGAGGTGGCCTGTTGAGTTTCTTTGCTTTTTCTCCCTACATTCTACCATTTAAATAGGGTAAGTTTGAGTCTGAGATATTCAGATTTTCTTTAAAAACAAAAAATACCCCAAATTTATTGAAAATAGAGTTTGAAGACAGAGGGATTTCCCCAAGATTGAAAAAAACATTTCTTTGGATTGGAGCAAGAAGGTCTATGCATCATGGAGCAGCACTCTGGTCCCAGGGAGCCCAGGGACGATGGCAAAGGGACTCAGAGAAAAGAGCTCCATCCTAGAATGCTGGCTCACCAATGGCTTCTCCATATAGTGAGCACAAAAGCATCCCACAAGGCCCCTGGACCGGAGGGCATGGTGTGGTCTGGGACAATGGGCCTCTCCTAGGTAACCTGTGTCCAGTGACTTAATAGGATTCAGAGAATTCTCTTCAAGACCCCAAATGTTAACAGAACCTTGGGGGTTAAGGGGAGTCTCCTTAAGACTGATTTATCTTCCTCCTGACAGGAACAAAATTAAATTAATTTACAGATAATTTTGGAAAGGGATTTTTTACTATGCACCTGTGTATGTGTGCATAACTTCTTTTTTTTTTAATTGATACATACATGAGATGTTCATAGATGAGGAAGTCCATAAAACACAGAAATATATGAAAAGCTAGAGTAAATAACCCATTTTTCAAACTTCCAAATCATTTACTTTATACCATTCTGTATAATTTACATGTGACATGACTATATGAGTTACGATATATGTTATTCTCATACAAAAAGCACAACATTTGAAAATACACGCTATTCCCATACAAAATCCATGAGAATTAGAAATTACAGCATAAAATACTGAATCTGTAGTTTTAAAATTTAGGTAATACATATAAAAATACTTTGCAAGTACTAAAGATCAACTATAAAAGATATAATCATAAATACTGAGGGCTCTCTAAGAAGGTTATCATAATCTATGGAGATTCCAAAAGAAAAGCAAGTGGAAATACAGGCAACAAACATCTTACATACAACTGAGAAACAAACCAATAAATGTCACAAAATATATGTACAAACGCTCAGGTACACCCTCAAAGCACAGCTGTGAGAATCATACTCAGAGGTGATTTACTCTTAACTTTGCACATAATTTTAATAAGCGGGGCTGTCTGTTCTTCCTAAGCCAGAGGTGTGATAATTCCAGATGCTGACGAAGTCCAGAGTGTAGGCTGATACAGACTTGCATGCAGACAGCAATATGATAGAACAACTGACAACAAGGAAGAAAACAGAAAGGGAGAAGGCTGAAATAGTATAAAAAAGCAGGCAAGAACTTAAAGAAAAACAGACATCAATCCAGGGCCATTCTCTGAAGGAGGAAAAGCTTAACACATTCCAGTAACTTCAGAAGGTAATTAAAAAAGTTTTTATTGATTTGAGAGAGAGAACGAGAAGGGGAAGGAGGAAAGAGAGAAACATCAATGATGATAGAGAATTATCCATCGGCTGCCTCTCCCACACACCCCTACTGGGAATTGAGCCCACAACCCGGGCATGTGTCCTGACCAGAAATCAATCCAGTGACTTCTTGGCTCATGGAGCAACGCTCAACCACTGAGCCACACTGGCCAGGCAAAGAAGATAATTTAATACTGCAGCACAGAACGACAGTGGAGGGATCAAGATGAGTGTGAGACTCATCCATGACATTCTGCTTCCTGCATGTCAGGGATTCATCTGAAACCCAACTCTCTAGGAACTCCTTAATCACACCCAACACATCTCAGGAAAGGCAGGTGAGACTGCTGCTCTCCGCTGTGGAGAAATTCATAAACATGTATCTCAGGCCACAGTCAATTCTTCTTCAACTTCAACTCATTCCCAAGCTGTCCCTGCCCAGCACCCCTTCTCCAGAGCAGATATTTCAAACACTCTCTGTTCTCCTTCCACCTCCCCGCACCTGCTTTCTCCTCAATCCCAGCCAATGATAATGCTGTCTACTAAGTCAGCAGAGAAAACGAGGAAGCCCCGTTAGAAGCAAATGTCTTCATTTTCCATCACACTTGCCAACTTACCTGGCTCCATTCCAGACCTTTGCTTCCTTCTCTTTACAACCCAGAACTCGATCTCACCCTAAATGCTGGCCTCTACACAGTCCGCCTTTCCAGGGGCTCTGATGCCTTGACTACCCTCCTTTGATCTTTGACTTATTCCCCTCTATTTACTGATTTCCATCATCACTCGATCAAGCTCAAGTCTTCTTCATCTTTAATTATAACACACCGACAACACCTTATCCCCATTCAGGAATTCTTGAAGGGGCTGCCTGATTCCTCACCTTAGAATTACTGTAAGCTGACATCCACCTGAAGTAACCAATGATAGCCTTAAAGTTAAAAACAAATGGATAGGTTGGTCTCAAACTCTCCCTAACATCTGCCACAGTGGATCATTTCATTTTTTATTTTTTTTCCTAGAAGCACTCTTCCTGGCTTCTGTGACAGCACTCTTTCCTGATTTTCCTTCTATCACTCTGGCTATCACTCAGTTTCCCTTCCTCTTACTATCCTGAATATTCCATCCACTCTCAGCAATTCAACTGCTATCTCGATGCTGCTTATGGTCAAAAGTCTACATGCTCACTCCAGACTTCTCTGAGCCCTCAATCTTTACCACTACCTAGTGGAACTCTATTTGTCTGTCCTATGGACATTTGCAAAAGTGAACCCATCACCTTGCACCAAACCTACGAAGCTCTCCCTGCAGCCTGATTTTTACCGACTGCTACCACATTCACCTCGTTACTCATGCCAGATTCTCTGTCATACCTGCAAACTGTAGCTCCTACAAGCCCTCTTAAATCTATCTATTTTGTCTCCATCCCTTGGCCAATGACTTCCTCATCACCATATGCCTGTATGTTTGTAAGTCTTCTAACTGGTTTGCTTTTATCCAATTTGTTTACACAGCAGCCAAATGTCCATTATGCAAATATCACCATTAAGTTTAAAATCCTTCCCTGGGTTTCCCAAGGGCCCTTGCATACTTTCATGGCTTCCCAAAGACTGCCCACCACTCATTTCAACTCAGACCTTTCCGTCATCCTTCTGACCTGAGGACCTCTGACACAAAACTTCTCTCAGTTGTTCAAACTTGCTCTGCCCTTTCTCACCCCAAAAATTCTACCCAAACATTCTTCCCACAACAACTCTTTATTTGACCAAGTCTTCTCATCCTCCATGTCTAATCTGAACTATTACTACTAATCTGACATCCTCTAAAAGAGTGATTGAATACTTGAGCACAATTAAAGTGTTTCCTTGGTATATTAAAACTAATACTTTATTTCAAAATGTTAAAATTCATAGAAATACAAACTAGTGAAACCAAATATTTAATACATTTCAAATACAAAAATTTAGAAATGTTACAACAAAAATGTAAATTTATAAATATATAAATATTAAACACAATCAACTTAGTATAAATTATCAGATAAAATAAGTGTTATTTTAAAACAAAACTAAACCCTACATAAAAATGACAAATGTTAATTTATAAAAAACCAAAAAATTAAAGATCATTTAAATTTTTTTTTGTGTGTGTGTCCTCATCAACACTGACTTTTTTGTGTGCAATTTTCCCAGCTGCTTAGGAAGTAGTACATTTCTGAGTTGGGGATGGTGATGAGATAATTATACACTAACTTTCTAACACTTTCTTCAGACTTTATCTTTAAACATACTCATCTCTGGTTTGATAACTCTGGGAAGAGCTTTCAAAACTTATTTGTGCTTGTGTAGAAACATCCCTTTTTTTTTTTTTTTTTTTTAACTAAAAGTGAGCTCTAGCTATTTTACTCAAAAAGCATTTCCATTGGTCTTCAACTACTTCAGTTTCATTGATGTAGAAGAAGATTCTGGACTGGTTTCCTGTGTCAAATTCACTACTATCATGATTAGACTCTGCTTATTCAAAAAGTCTTTCAACTTGAGTAAGATTTATTCTTGCAGTAACCCTTGTTTTATTTTTGTCCACTGTATGCTCCTAAAATTTATAGAACTGTAGGGGAAAACCCTTTCCACACAAACACTTTATTTCATTCAAAATCCTAATGCGGTGGCAGAGGAGTCTGGTTCAGCAAGTCACCTTAGATTGAATTTTCAAGTCTTTAAACTTTGATCTCAAGACAAATGACTCAGATTTTTTTTTTTCTTTAACTTAAGCACCACCCTTTTAAGAGATGCCCTCAGTCTGGTCCTCCTGGCCTGTCCCTCGATGTCACTGGCCTGCAGTCCCTTCCCTCAGACCACAGCCCTTAGGCAGCACTTCTCCCCTGCAGTGTTTTCCATTTATTCTTACCAGCCATTTACCTCCTTCCTTCACTAATGAAGCTGTCCACCAACGGCAGAGTGCTCTTCAGCCAGACCCACAATCAGTTCTGTCTTTATGGAAGGGGAAGAGAAGGAACCCGGATAGGGGAGTCGCAGTCTATGAGTATAAACAAAGGCTGGGCACCCTGGATGAGAGAATTCAGAAGGATGAAAGCCAGAGGAAGGGAAGAGGAATTGGACGGTAGAGTGGGTAAATCTGCTAATGGATGACTTGAAATGCAGGTATTACATTATTATATGACCAAAAATAATGAGATTTTAGTGCCAGCATACTGGAATGCCTCAAATCAATACTGAAATCACTATATTAAATACAATGCAGCAAAGTGAGGCCCTTTGCCAAGCACTCCAATATTCACATCAAACCATGGAAATACAGTATTTCCTTCGTTTTTATAGATATGGAAACTATGATTTAGAAAGAGCAAGCCACTTCCCAG